CCATGCTTGTTGATTCAATTAATGACACACACTAGTATTGCAACATATAATCCCCCTCATTCATTACACATTGAGTGTCTAGGAAAGTGATGTTTAATGGTGACCTCTAAGTCCCAAGATCCCTCTCTTATATTGTCTACATTTTACTCTACTTCAATGGCTTTACCTTGTATCCATTTAGTTGACATTATAGTTTAATTAACCAATCAAAACATTTTTTATCACTTAACCTACTAATCCAACCTTGATTTCCAAGCAAAATACACTCCACTCCCTTGGGACGATCCCTACTCACCCTAGCTATATTTATAGTTAGAAGTGGTAATGACAATCTTTATAAATTTAAACTTAGTCACACTACACTCCATTTTGTGCTCCATGCTAGGTGCACACCAAGTTTTGGCACTGTTGCTGGGGAATTGGCACTGTCGTATTTTGAAAATCAATTAGGAATTAGTACTCTTTTGATCCTATCTTTATTTTTATTTTACTTTAGTTACTTATTGTGTTTGTTCCTTTTTGGCTAGGTGTATTGCACCAAGGGAAGTGAAGAAAGGGGAATTACAAAAACAAAGAGCCAAGCTAAGTTAAGCAAAAGTGCAAAAATATAAAAATTACAAAGCAAAGCAAAAATTGAAATTAATTTAAAGTTGCTTAAAGACCCTTTGTGAGCTTTCTAACTCTATCTCTAGTTAAATCATTGGCCCGCTTGCTGGCGTTTCTTTAAATTCTTAGATAAATCGTGAGCCCGCGTGGATGCAATTTACTTTCTTTGCATATTGTTGAAAGCATGGGAGTATGGGATAAATGTATGTGGAGGATTATTGTTGATTGCTTTGTGTTACGAAGGAGGAATGCTTGCTTTTGTTGAATTTATTATTGTGTTACTTGAAGTGTTGTGCGGTTTTTTTTCCCTACCTTTCATCCTAGGCATTCTAATGGAAAATCTAGAGGGTAATCTTGGTTACTTAGACCCGTATTTCATAGAACACCCTCCTTTTGATCAATTTCCTCCTGGAGTTCAAGCTTCAATTCCTCCATTGATCCTTCACAATCATTACAATTTCCATGAATACCATACACCAACTTGTATCATGCATCCTAATTTTAGGGCCAATCAATATGAAATTAAGCCCAAGACTATTCAAATGTGTCCACTTTTCTATGGATTAAATGATGAGGAATCATATCAACATCTTAATGAATTTCTTGAAATATGCTCCACCATAAAGTATATGAATGTTCTGGAAAAATTTCTTAGGTTACTTCTCTTCCCTTTCACTCTTAAAAATAAGGCAAAACATTGGTTCAACAACTTGGGGGCAAATTTGATAACTTCTTTGATACAAATGCAAAATGAATTTTTGAAAATATTTTATCCCGTAAGTTTGACCAATTCAATGAGAACTGCCATTAGAGAATTTTCTCAAGGGGAAGGAGAAATTTTACATGAGGCTTGGGAAAGATTGAATGACTTGCTACGGAAATGCCCACACCATGGCATTCCTAAATGGCAAGTGGTTCAATATTTCTATGAAAGCCTATCCAATGTTCATAAGGACATAATCGATACTTCATGGAGGTTTATCTTTTGGGAAACATGAAGATGATGTTTGGCACCTTTTTGAAAAAAAAATGAGTGAAAATTCATTACATAAATCTCACACTTCTCAGTTGAGTCCTGATTCTATTAACAAAAAGAGAAATTTGAAAGTGTGTCAAATTAAAAGTCCAATAGAGATTGTAGCCGAGGTCAAAACTCTTTCTTAAAAACTTGATCAATTCTTATTGAGTCAAAAATTAGTTATCAAATCATCTCCTTTTCATCACTCCTATCAGTCTTGTGCGCCTTGCATGACATGTTCTAGTGTTCTACATTCTACTTCCAATTGTCCCAATGGACATGTGTTTAATGAACACTTTGAATAAGTTAATGCTACATTTGCTCACCCTTATTCAAATGATTATGTTTCGGTGTGAAATGAAAATTCAAGTCCTTTTCAAGCTAAACATTTTCAAAGTAGATATGTCCCACCTCATAAAAGGAATGAAGGTTTTTGAGGATTTGTGTCATCTTCTTCTTATCATTAAAGAATGAATCACTATTCACATCCTCAAGTGTATGATTCTCAAATTTTCACTCATCATCCTCATGCACTTTTTAGCGATTCTACATTCAAAGATAAGGTTTTGGTGGTTTTGGGTAGTTTGGAAATGAACACCAATTTGTTGCATTCTCATTCTCAATCGATATTAAAGCTTGAATCTCAAATCGGGATGATAGCTAATGCATTGAATGCGAGAGAAATTGGAAAATTACCTAGCCAACCTAAAAGAAACCCAAAAGCATAATACTTTGTGGAAGCAAACTCTACATCGGGGTGTCTGTGACACCCATTCTAGAGCCACGGGTGATCAAGTCCGAGCACAGATCCGAGAGGTACCAAACAATTAAGTACGTAAATGAACACAGAATACAAAAGAAAGAATTAAGAATAAATAAATAGCAGAAAAGAAAATATTAAATATTTAATCCTTAACTTAATATCCAAACGAAATATCTAAAACCTTAAATCATTACAACTAGTGAATCCGTCTAGTGGACCCTTAATGATCATCCAACTGAATTAATCTGAAATTAACCATAATTAGAAACTAAAACATAAATAGAGTCCTACGTAGAACCGAAAGAATGATGTGGACTGTCTCTGCTCAGCACGAACAAACTCTATGTCTAGAACTGATGAGCACCTGAAAAATATAATAGTGGGTCAGGCCCATGAGCAAGTTCTTTCTATGACAACCCAAACAGAGAGCAGAAAACTATACACCTATAGCTAACCCATGCAATAACTATATACTTCCTGAATACATATATATATCCACACTAAGGGACTCTCACTGGACTACAATGCAGTCTCAATCTGACTAATAGGTAACATGCAAAACGCATCTGAAGTGGACATGAGTACCTAGACCTAGTAGGGTACACATCAAACTATCACAACCAGTTATGCATCCCAATGCATATACGCTCCCTAACCATCGATCTTGAGACTCAAGCTCATATCATGGTAACTTAATTATATATATATTTGAATAAAATCAATCCTAATACGGTACATAAAAAAAAAAAAAAAAAAAAAAAAAAAAAAAAAAAAAAAACCATCCAGTTTGTCATTCAACTGTTTTAGTTGACATGACATGAATATATGTAGGATTTAACTTTTTTTAGTTAATCCAATAGGTAGGAATTAGCTTTTTGATTTAATCCATCCCTAATATGCCACCGTCCCATACCAGTGCATATAATCCACCAAATCCATAAATGATGCAATATTCAAAGTAATACATCAAATAATTCCACAAAATAGTCCAATAATTGATAATACAATTTCAAGAGTATATAAAATAATCCAAAGTTAAACATAATAATATCATATCATGCTAACACAAGATAGCACAACTTATAATTTATTTAATTTTCCTATGTCACATATCCTACACATACTGAATCTTAAACAGATTGATATATTTTGCTATACCATCACTTAAGCATTCTTCATACTTTGTTTAAAGTTTATTTAAATCATTCCTAGTCCTTATTTGATGTTTAGGACTCCACAAATCCTATCTAAAAATTATACAACATTGTTTCGGAGACTCCACCAGGTAAGGCTCGAGCTTCTGTCTCAATTGCCCGAACACCTTGTCCAAGGCTCGAGCATCCTATTTCAGGCTCGAACTCTTTATCCCAATTGTTCGAGCTTTCCTTCTCAAGTTCGAGCTTTACATCCCACATGCTCGATCTTTACAACCAATTGCTCGAGCATCACCACCAATTGCACGAGCTTCACAACCAAGTGCTTGAGCTTTGCCCCCAAGGCTCGAGCACTATAGTAGCGGTCCGAACACTGTTACACAAATCAACCCAGAACTTCACTGTGCATTCATTCTTTATTTGTTTTAGGAATCCTAGGCATATTTCTACGTTCCATCCATATACAGATATAACAAAACATTATATAAAATATGCAACAAATTCACAGAATTATCAAATCAAATAATGAATTTAACAACTTATACACAAGAACAATCATGGACAAATAAAATTTATAAAACCTAGTTCTAGATCAATTGAAACATATATTCCAATTTTAATTAATCCTTTAAACATCTTTAAAGTTATACTAGGGATATATAGATTACCAATCTAAGGAGAATGTAGCACAGAGAACTTGCCTATAGGATTTGATAAAACCCTAGCCTCCTTCTTCTTTTTCCTCTTCCTCCTTCCTCCTTCTTCCTTCTTTCTCTCTTTCTCTCTCTAAAATAAAATACGTGATATATTTTCTAGCCCCTTTTCCAACCCTATAGAGATATATATATACGCTACAAAACCCTATTCCTTTTCCTAATCCACATCCAATTAATAAAAATAAAATAAAATTAAAACACTAAAAAGGTAACTAAAAATATAAGTTACGTATAATCTATGTATATTATTTTTATCTAAATAAAATTAATACCCTAGATTATCTCCAAAGGACTTTTCCTAAATATATATTATTTAATTATATATATACATAGGGTAATTATCTATAACCATTAAACTCCTTATCCAAGTAGTCCATGGAACCCAATTGGTTGGCCCATGACTATTATCCATAACCATTAAAAGAAAATGAAATACAATAAAGCAACCATTTAAATTATTTAATTCCTAACATTAGTTTTAAAGAAGATACCCAACATTTAAATAAATAATTACACATCAAAACACCTAACATTTAAGAACACAAATACCTATTAACTAACACATAATTCAACTAAATAGTTATCAGATACACATAACAAATTAATTCACCTAAACAATTAACAAATAGCCAAGAACTCAATTAATTAATCAAAAACATAATTAAAATAATTAATAAAATACTGAGACTACCCTTTTAAAATTAGGGGCATTACATTCTTCCCCCCTAATAAAAGGAATTCTATCATCTGAATTCACCCTTACCTTCATCCATTATGTCTGGAAAGGTTGAGCGAAAGACGTCCTCCCGTTCCCAAGTAGATTCAGCCTCATTGTGATAACTCCATTGGACACGTACTAAAGGAATGACCTTATTACAAAGAATCTGATCCCTACGGTCAACAATACGATAGGGTGGTTCCACATAAGTTGCATCCGATTGTAACTTAATCTCACCAACATCAACATGCTGATAACGATCCTCGTCGTGAAGAAATTTCCACAACATGGAAACATAGAACACATTGTGAACCCGATCTAATTGGTCTGGAAGTGCTAAGCGACAAGCCACCGCTCCAATTCGATCCGAAATCATAAAAGGACCGATAAAACATGGTAATAACTTCCTTTTCTTCCCAAAGCGCATTACTCCTTTCATAGGAGACACTTTGAGTAAAACCTGATCGCCAACCTGAAACTCCAATGCATGAGTACGATGATCCGCATACCTCTTCTGCCTACTCTGAGCAGTGCGCATGCGATCCCGAATAAGAGCGATCTTTTCAGAGGTATCCTTAATGAACTCAGGACCCAAAAATCTACCCTCTCCAACCTCCATCCAATAAATAGGAGATTGACATGGTCAGCCATATAAAGCCTCGAACGGTGCCATACCAATAGTCTTCTGGAAGCTATTATTATACGCAAACTCTACAAGTGGCAAATAGTCCTCCCAGTAACCCTTAAAGTCAAGTACACAAGAAAGAAACATATCCTCCATGATCTGATCAATCCTCTCGGTCAGCCCATCAGTCTGAGGATGATAAGCAGTACTAAGATGTAACTCTGTACCCAAAGCCTATTGAAAACTCTTCCAAAATCTTAACACAAAGCTCGAATCCCTGTCCGATATAATAGACAACGGTATACCATGTAACTTTACAATCTCTATAATGTAAAGTCTCGATACTGCTCAGAAGCAAAGTCAGTACAAATAGGCAAGAAATGAGCTAATTTGGTCAACCTATCAATGATGACCCAAATGTAATTGTGATCCTTAAATGAATTAGGCAATCCCTCCACAAAATCCATAGAAATGCTCTCCAATTTCCACTCCGGTATTGGTAGTGGCTGTAGATCTCCTGGCGGCCTCTAATGATTAGTCTTGACCATCTGACAAGTACTGCACTGAGAAGCAAAAATAGCAATGTCCTTTTTCATACTTGCCCATTGAAACTGCCACTTCATATCTTGATACATCTTGTCTCCTCCTCGATGAACAAAAAACTCAGCATAATGAGTTTCAGTCATCACATCCTTCCTCAAATCGTCAGCAGAAGGTACCACTAAATTTCCTTTGTACCTCAAACCTCCACCAGTCCCGAGATAGTAAAATAGAACTTTCCTAGAAGCCATCTTTGCAACTTTGTCAATGCACTGCTGATCCATAAGTTGTGCCTTTAAGACCTTGTAAATGATAGAAGGTGCAACTACCATACAATCCATAAAAGCATCAGACAACTCGTCAACTATCTTCAAAGCATTCCACTCAGTAGTGAATAAAGCAGAAAGACTCCCAAAAGGTCGGCGATTGAGAGCACCACATTCGCTTTCCCTGGATGGTACTGTATAGAGAAATGATAGTCTTTCACAAACTCTAACCATCTGCGCTGTCTCATATTCAGCTCCCGCTAAGTGAACAAATATTACAAACTCTTCTGATCACTAAATAATCTGAAGGACTCTCCCAACAGATAATGTCTCCAAATACCTAAGGCAAAGACCACAGCTGCCAACTCTAAATCATGTGTTGGATAATTAAGCTCATGAGGCTTAAGCTTACAAGACCCATACAAAATTGGTCTCCTCTTGCATCAGAACACATCCAAGACCTTGCAAAGATGCATCCATGTAGACATGATATTCTATCCCGCTTTGTGGAGTAGACAGAATCGGTGCAGAAGTCAATTTACTCTTTAGCTCATCAAAAGCTTCCTGACAGTGTTCATCCCACACGAACTATACACCTTTCTTAGTTAAGTGAGTGAATGGTCCTGTTATCTTCAAGAACCCCTGAATGAATCGCGGATAGTATCCTGCCAGTCCCAGAAAACTCCAAATCTCAATAGGTGAAGTAGGCTATCCGCACTCGACCACTACTGAAATCTTGGTTGGATTTACTGCTATTCCCCTTTCTGACACTACATGACCCAGAAACTTCACTTCCTGCTACCAAAACTCACACTTCTCAAACTTGGTATATAACTGATGTTCATGAAGCATCTGCAACACTATGCGAAGATGTCTAACATGATCGTCCTCTGACTTAGAATAAATCAAAATATCATCAATGAAAACGATAACAAATTGATCTAAGTAAGCCCCGAAGACTCTGTTCATTAAATCCATGAAGACTACTAGTGCATTAGTTAATCCAAAGGGCATGACACGAAACTCATAAGAACCATATCTAGTGAGAAATGCTTTCCTAGGAACATCTTGCTCTCTAACCCAAAGTTGATGATATCCAGAATGCAGATCAATCTTAGAGAAGTATGTAGCTCCCTTCAGCTGATCAAAAAGATCATCAATCTTGGGTAAAGGGTATTTGTTCCGAATAGTAACCTTGTTCAACTCCTTATAATCTATACATAGGTGAAGTGAACCATCTTTGTTTTTCACAAACAATACCGGTGCTCCCCAGGGTGAGGTACTCCTATGAATAAAACCCTGGCTGAGTAATTACTACATCAGATCCCTCAGCTCTCGTATCTCCACTGGAGCTATCTTGTATGGTGCTTTACCAATAGGTGTAATGCCTGGAGCTAAATCAATCATAAAGTTTATCTCTCAACTTGGTGGCAACCCTAGAATCTCTTGAAAAACATCCAGAAAGTCCTGTACAATTGGTATGATATCCAATGACACAGTAACCTCCTCCTCCTTTTCCTCCCCCACATAAAATAATTAGGTGTTAGCAACCTCTTAAAACATGGCATAGTGATGACGTACATATCCAGACTAGATATGGTGAAATAATAGACCTATCATGACAATTAACTTGGGTATGGTAGTGAGATAACCAATCCATCCCAAGTATCACATCATAAATATGCATGTCTAGGACCAATAGATTGGCTAGAAACCTAAGTCTACCAATATCTAGTGTCACAGTCCCATCACTTTCATGTAAAATGGCAGTATTGCCTAAAGGTGTAGAAATCCCCTGATGATCGATCACACACTTGTGTCACCAACTAAACTATAAAAAACCTAAAATTTTTGAATACTCTATAGAGCAAAACACATACGGTATACAGAATATCCCGCAATCTACTCACATTTAGAATATCACTCTATTTTGGGCATTCTTCCTTAAAAATTAAACTTACCGTCTTGATTTACCTAAGTTCTTTTATAAACTCATTGGTAATCGTCTCATACCCACACAGCACAGTTATAAGCAAAAATTTGTTTGTTTGACCAAATACCAACCACTCCATTGTGATATGCCTTTATCATCGCATCATACACATTCCAATATAGTTTAATAAAACCATTTATGTAACAATTACAAAAATGCTATCATAAAAGACAATAGAGATAGCCAAACCACTAGTTCACTTCATTAAGAACTTTTTTAAATCATAAACCTCCAAAAGAATAATTGTCAAATATTCTTTAAAACAATACTAATGTACATGATTTAACTAGTACTACACTTATAATAATATCTCCATTACTACTAGTAATAAAAATTACTCTTAAAAGAGCCATCCTCCTATTATGCAACCACCCAATTGGTCATTACCGTGATTTATTATCAAATATTCTTTGATGCTTTTCATAAACTGCGTGATTTATTGTAATCTGCTCTTATTATGCAACCACCCAATTGGTCATTACCGTTTGAAATCATATGTGATCCCTGATGAGCACTAAAAAGTGCACATTTAAACCCCTTAAGCTTGGATATTCTAGAAACTTATCCTATCTTATTTTTCCGTTTTAGTCTAATTTCATGTTATTTCCCTTTTCAGGCACTTATTCCCAAAATAAGTTAATCCAGCTAAATTAGAGTATAAAAGATACAATTTCAAGCTTAGTGGAATAAGGAGCAAAATGGAAGCAAAATGATGTAAAATAGGAATCTTCGATCGATCATACCAAGCTCAGATCGATCTCACAGTGATCGTTCCAACCATTCCAAGATGGATCAAACCTTTTGTCCTTATCCTCAAGAAATTCCCATCTTCGATCGATCCAACATTTCTTCAATCGATCAAACTTCTTTGATCTTATCCCCACCTACTACTTTTGTTTTTTTCCCAAAATATCCCAAAACTATCTCAAATTTGTCTTATTCCAAAAAGGTGCTGCCATGGTTCGATCGATTTGACCATCCTTATGATCGATCGAACCTCCTCAAGTGCTCGTGGTGCAATCATTTAGAGGTTCCATTACACAAGGTCTGACCATTAGGTGTGACACTTGAGCTTCCTATATAAGGATTTTGAGCCATTTTACAAATAGAAAATCTTAGAGAGAAATGAACCACAAGAGAGAGGTTGGAGGATTCTAGAGATTAGAGAGACACACACCATTTGGAAGTTCTTCCACTCATCTAGGGTTTCTATTAAGGAGACGAAGATCATTCCTACCATAGAGATGGCCCTTGAGGGTTTTGATGACTACATCAATGAGTGGCTAAACCATTCTCTTGGGGCTAAAGATAACCCTAAGCATGCCTCCTAGACTTTACTGTTTTGTATTTTAAGGGGATTCGTGTTGTAATTCTTGTCTTGACATTTGATTTATATATGAATCTTGTTTCTACAATGATTTGTGTAGTTTAATACTTCCAATTAATCATTTCATTCTATTCATATATCTATGTATGCTAGAATAGATGTTCATGTGTTTATCTCTAGGTTTTGTGATATTGATGCATGTCTATGTGTGCTAATGCTATGAATCTAGTGATTGTCAAAGCATGGTGCTTAAATGGAATACTCTTGTGGTTTGTTTAATGGTTCATACTCATTTCTTGATAGATTATGCCTCTTCCTTAGTTTAATTTTCATGTCCTTAGCTTAGTAGTAGTGTAGTTGCCTTACTTTTTTATATAGGAGGACAATCCATGCATGTTGTTTGATGTTCCATGCTTATTAATGCAAGTAGTATATTTCTCTAATTTGACGATATGTATTGATTGTGGACTTAAATAAAAGAATAATGGCTTAATTTGATATGTTTTGCTATTCACTAGTTTGTTTAGACAATGTATGCTTAATTAGTCATCCATGTTTATTGATTCAATCAATGACATATACTAATTTTGTAACACATAACCCCTCTCATTCATTACAAATTGAGTGTCTAGGAAGGTGGTGTTTAGTGGTGACCTTTAAGTCCCAAGATCCCTCT